CAAAACACACACACAAAGGTGGCACCATCTATGTAATGTATTTTGTTGGTTGGTTTCGGATGATTTTTTGTTTCTGTGGTGTGGAGGAGTTTAACAATAGCGCGTGCTTTATGAATTCACAAAACTTCCCTTCCCTTTCAGTCACGATACTGTAACAAAAATGAGATGGGAATTAGGAGGAATTACAGCATGATACGACTGCTGCAAAATCACCCTGTTCTCAGGGAAGCCCTGAGAATATACAAGCCCAGCAGGCACTATGCTCGGTGTTCCCTTCCGAAAGCTTGAGTTTTTATAATGCAGTGGAAAAGATTTCAACAGGAGAATGGACGTGTCCATGGACTTTTAGCCAAAGAATATTATTGAAAAAAAATTGGCAGCCAGGCGTGATGGCTCGCGCCTGTAATCCTAGCACTCTGGGAGGCTGAGGCGAGGATCGCTCAAGGTCAGGAGTTCGAGACTAGCCTGAGCAAGAGAGAGACCCCATCTCTACTAAAAATAGAAACAAATGATCTGGACAACTAAAATAAATATATATTAGCTAGGCATGGTGGTGCATGCGTGTAGACCCAGCTGCTCTGGAGGCTGAGGCAGGAGGATTGCTTGAGCCCAGGAGTTTGAGGTTGCTGTGAGCTAGGCTGACACCACACTCTAGCCTGGGTAATAGAGTGAGACTCTGTCTCAAAAAAAAAAAAAAAAGAAAAGAAAAATTTGTAGTTATTATTATGATTGCACATATCAAACCTTCTAAGCTTTAGTAAAGCTCTTCTGCCTCTTGTTCCTACTGTAGCCAACAGGAACAATTTAACTTCCCCTCCAACTTGAGCACGGTGGGTCCACGGGAGAACAGAAAATGGATAATTACATAGGCTCTTTTGCAATGAATAACAGATACAATAAAAAGTGTTTTGTTTTTTTTTGTAGTTTCTGATTTAAATGTTTAAAAAATCTGGACATCCCCCTTCCTACCTCTACTCAAGACAAAAATTAAAAGTAGGGAATAGTATAAGGATTTTAAAATGAGAATTTCCTATTTCTCAACAGGCTTAGTGCTTTACTGTATTTGTGCTTGGAAATATGAGTCCACCCTTATTTTCTGTCCATTTGTAAAGGAATGGGAGACACCTCCCTACTCCCGCCTTTTCTGAATTGGTAAGAGCGCCAACGCCACTCAACGCAGAGGTGAAGAGCCACTCACTGGCTTGTCCTCGGATTGAAAACCAGGAGCTACGTGTGCCTTCTTTCCCATGAAGGTTTCCCCCAGGACAACAGTAGGTGAAATTATAGGTTTACCTCTGGCCAACGTTTTGAAGAATTGCGGTGTTCCTATTCTTTTCCAGCTAAGCTCTGATGTGTGCAGACTCCCTGTAATTATGGTGTAATTGGATTTAACTATAGGGGCAGAACTAGTTCTCAACCGAGTCTCCTCAAATAATTTGTTGCTTATTAGAAAAAAAAAAGGGTGCTCTTGCTGGTGTTAGTGTGGCCTGTGTACGGCTCTCCCCGTTCCCCAAGAGAGAAGAGAATTGCTGGTATGAGCTCTAGCAATTCAGTGGGGTTGGTTTAATCACAGCGCCCTAGCTCTAAATATTCCAGAAACTTCATTTACTCTAAAAAAAAAAAAAAAAAAAAAAAAAAAAAAAAAAAAAGGAATCCAAAGAGAGGCCTTACTGGAGTCCCAAAGTGAAATATTATGGTGAGAATGTTATTCTCTCTCACTCCTATGGTAAGGATGTTATTCTAAATGTCCAGAGTTTGCAGACTGGTTGGATGTTGGCACGGGCTTCTATTATTTGGCCTGCATGGTGTTTAGAGTTTCTGTAGGTTAGGTGCCATATATGTAAATAGGAGATGTTACATAAAAAGCTGGATTTCAGCCTCCTCTCAAAAAAAGGAAAAAAAAAAATCTGGCAGCCCAGGGCCTGAATTCCTTCATTGCCATCCTTTGCTGGACTTGAATCTTTGTGGTTCTTTAGAGCAACAACCAGGCTATCATTTATCTTCCTGCCCTCGTCACTCATTTACTGAAACTTCTCGACTCCGTTGACATTTTTAATTTGTATCCTTGGGCCTATGTCTCTTTCTCTCTCAACTCTGCATAGCACCCTCCTCACCCTGTCTTTCGGTAATGTGAGCTCCTGTTTTACTGAAGGCAGTGTGATCCCAAAATGTTAAGAAGATTTAGGCTTTTTGTGTGTGTGTGTCAGGGAAACATATTTAAATCCAGGCACCATTGCGCGCTAGCTGTGTTGCTTTGGGTGAGCAACGTCACATTTCTGAACCCTGTCTCCACGTCTGGGGCTTACGTGACCTATGTCAGGGGCTGGTGCAAGCCCCAGCACAGTCCTTGGCACACGGGGGGTGTTCAGGAGCCATGAGCATCCCATACTCTCACTCTGCCCTAAATGCCAGCAGACAAGTGATATTGGTACCAGTCAACGTTACAGACTCCTTACATAGGATCGCACCCAGGGAGTTTGTTTTGTTTACTTTTCCCTATCTTCAGCTCAACTCTCCCACGCAGATGAAAGGCAGAGATGTGAACCCACTTGCTCAAGGTCACTCAGTGAGTGACAAATAAACCCAGGTGTCCTGGGCTCTCAGCCCAGTGCTCATTTCACTCAGAACAGCCTGCCAGACACACACAGACTCTTCCCAGCAGACTCGGAGATGAGGTGAGCGTGGGATTTCTGTTGCTCGGGGCCTGAGTAAAAGGCTGCAGACAATGAGTGGTTTGAATGTCTGAAAAGAAGCATCAGGGAGTGACCTGAATTAATCACACAATTGTTGCAAGATAGAACCAAGTCGTTCGTAGGCTCCCCTTTGCCATTTTGCTCTTTAATGAGGCAGTTTGCACAGACGTGCCTTCATTGTGCCTTACCTTTCTTTGTGAGGTGACTGCAATATAGGCATGCCATCTAGGTCAGCGCCATAATCATCTCTGCCTGATGCTTTAAAATGAAAGGAAATAAAATAAAACAGCCGACTAAGGCTCATCTCCTTCCCACACCAGGATCCTTTATGGGTGACGTGGTCATCAGACACATGTCTTCACTTGCAAAGGGCTCCACAGACATGGAAGTGGAGGCCAGGCAGGGTCTTGGGCAATAATTTCATCTTCTCATAAGGCGATTCAAACTCCCTGTGCTCTGGGAATTAGAGGACCTGGATTCTAGCCCACACCCACTACCAAGGATCTGTGTGAGACCCTGGCCAAGTCACTTCACACCTGTGCATTTTAGTTTTCTCATTTGTCAAAGGATGGAGTTGGAGAAGTTGGTCTCCAAGGCTCCCTCCAGCTCTAACAGTCTTAGATGATTCTTAAGGTAGAAGTTTGACTCCTGGGAAGGTTGTAGGTAGACTTTGGGACAGACTCAAATCAGATTGCTGAAGGACAGAAGGAGAAAGTATGATTCTGGGATGGATCAGATAGAGAGGTTGGGGTCAAGGAGCAGGACTCTATGACATGTTGTTTACAACTCTTTGGAATTGCAGCCAGTGTGAAGAATGCCAGGCTGCTGGGTTGATTTGACTATACCGTGCACAGTTGGAAGATGGTTCCATGAAGGTGGGTGATGGGTCGTGAGACAGGAAGCCAAGAGTTTGGCAGTTCCATTCTTAGGGTCATAGACTGAGCAGGGCATCCTTGGGAAGTGGGTTTCGCTCAGACTTAACTACCCTGGAGCTGTAGATATGGGGAGACTGTGTGTGAGTCAGGATCATATTTTAACAAGACTCATTCTTGCTCTTTTCATTTGGGTCAGACCAGAGATAGGAGTGTGGAGAGGAGAAGTGGTGATGGAATTCTCTGTCATCATTGACTGAGTGGTTTCTAACAAAGCGTTTATCCTCTCTGAATCTCTGGGGCTGTCTTTCCTGGGACTGATCTGATTCTATTCTCTAGATGGATTCAAGTCTTTGGATGTCAAAGCTTCAGCCAGAGCCAGAAACAACGAATGGATATTGATTTTTCGATGTGTAACCTTGACCTTGGCTCAGGACCACCACGAAGTGGAGAGCTTACTCCTGTTGCTCATATCCTAGCAAGATTCTTGGAGTTGCCTGATAGCTCAGGAAATCAGAAAGGCCCTGTGCAAATTCAGAGACGATTTGGAATTGGGCTGGGCTGGATTGGATCAGTTGTGGTTCTGCTAGGAGGAGTCTGATCCCAAGCCAGTCACACCCTCACTTGCCTTCTTGAGAATTTAATTCATGTTGCACCCCCCTGCACGCTGTTGGTAGCACCCACTGGTTACTCTGACCACATGGATAGCCACTAGTGACTTATTTCTCTCCTCCTGTCTTGCTCCATGCGTCCTCTGTGCTGCTGTGTGGCCTGTAGCAGATGCACCAGCCAACGCTGGTCTCTTTTGCTCTGACTTGTGGCTGTTATGTTTTGAGCCTCTCGGTCTAGCTGTTCATTACATGCTGTTTTGTATTGTCTACTCATTGTTCCACGATTTTTAGTTACCTCTTCACGACCTCTCTAGACCATAGGGTCCCCCCTTGGGGCTGGGGACCATGTCTTCTGCTTTTCTCCAATTGCCCCTGGCCCAGTCTTGCTGTCCTCTCTATCAGACTGTTTGATCTTCCATGGCCACAGGTTTTATTCTTCACTGGGGACTTTCCCCTGCCTCCTTGCACTTCCCCCAGTTCCTGCTTTGCTCCCGCCAGTGACAAACCTTCCTGCACAGCTGGGCCCTGCCCTGCCCCAGCACGCCCTGCAGATCAGCTTGAAGTAAGCTGTCTGGAAGGGCCCCTGGTGAGTCAGTCGGGCCCCTCCTTGGAGACAAGGAATTCTGAGGTCCTGCAAGCACACACCTGCCCATCTGCGGAACAATTCCACAGCCAACCCCGGCCCTGCTTCTGGGAACGCTTCTTACTTTTACCTCACTCGAGTGAGCTTCTTCCCTCCTCCGCTGGCTGCTCTGACTTGTCAGGTGGGGACGGCGGGGCAGTCCTGATGAGCCAGCCCTTGGTGGGGAGAGGCAGGACATGTGCCTCCCGGGAGCTGAGGCATCTTGCGTTCTGCTGGGTTGACTTTGGAAAACCTAAGGACAAGAGGAGAAACCACTGAATCGTGCATTTCTGAAGTCTTCACCCAGGGAGAGCAAGAAGAGAGTGGGAAGAAGAGACCAGGACTCTAATCAGATTGAGCTTGGCCACCAGTTAGTTGCGTCATTTCACACCACTGACTTGCCCTCTCTTACTCTCAAGCTCCTCTTCTTTAAAGTGAAGTTGTTGCATTAAAATGGTAGCTTTCAAACTTATAAAAGCAAAAGAACCTTTTTATCAAATGAAATCCTATAAGGAATTCCAATTTCTAGATAGAATAAACAGCCATTCTGGTTAAAGCAAGAGTGCAGAGGGACTCTCGATTTCATTCTTGTCTTTCAAATTATCCCCTGAAATACCTTATTGGGACTTCCCAAGAACACAGTGTGAAAAACGAGGAGAAAGGTGGTCCCCATGGCCCACTCTAGCTCTGAGAGTCCCCACACCCCTGCCACTGAAAGTGTGGTCATTGGTCAGCAGCAAGTACCCAGGAGCCTCCTGGGAATGCATCTTATCAGGACTTACTTGGGACTTACTGAATCAGAACCTGCATTTTAAATAAGATCCCCAGGTAATTCATTCAAATTTGAGAAACTCTGACTTATGACCCAGAGAGCCAGGTGGCAAGAAGACCAAGGGGGCATAATGGTTTCACCATAGTATACAGGCCTGGTCAACTGGGATTGGAAGGGTGGACCACACCTCTTTCTTGCAAATTCTAATGCCTCAGTGCATCAGTTGTACCCTGGGAGAGGAGCCAGCCGTGGGAAACTGGTAGGCTTCTACTTGGGCTTAGCCAGAAAGGGAGAAATGGGGGCAGCCTTGTCTCTGCAGACTATATGTAGCAAATGCTGGAGACACAGCATGTGAACGGGGAATTCATGTTTCCAGTAGGGAAATGCTCTCTGAAAATGCCCAATGAGCGTGACTCTACTAGGCATTTGTGCTTCCTAACGTGTTTCCTCCCTGGTCTCTTGGGATCCCTATTCTCTCTTCAGCACCAGGGCTGTGACAGCTGGCTTGCACTTAGAAGACCTATATTTTGGTTCTAGCCCTGGTCTTTTCTAACATTGTCCCTTTGGTTTTCTCTATCTCTGTGTGCCTTAGTTTCCTGATCTGTCACACAGCATGGCAAAGCTCAGAGAGTTGTCGTAAGGATGAACTGACATATAATGAAGCGCTTTGTAAATTGTAAAGTGCTAAGAACTCAGGGATACTTTTATATTCGAGTTGTTCTGTAAACATACCAAGAGTTTGGCTTCAGCTGGACTTACTAAAAATGCTTAGCTCAAAGCCTCAGACATCCCTGTGAGGCTAACAGCTGGTTTCTTGTCTTAGCCTAAGCTCATCTTAGGAGTCTGGGTTTCTTAAAGGTTGGGCAGTCCTGCTGGTGGCTCCTCAAGTCACTTCATCAGAACTTGATTAATCAAATGTGTGTGTGTGTGTGTTTTAAATAGTATTGTGCAAAATTGAAAAGAAAGGGGGAAAAGTAAATCTAAGGCTGTTCTTGTTAAGAATAAAAAAAAAATGAAAAGAAAAATATTTACTTCTATTATATCCCTGCACTTAGAAGATACTAGGATTTTCTTCCAGAAAATGCTCCTGCTGTAATGCTTTTAATTTGGCCAGAAATTGGAATGAGATGGGCCTAAGTTGATCCTAAAGATGAACTTGCTATTTTTCCTCTTTCGTTGGTTAATGTTCTAGTGGCCATTTCTGGGAAAAACGCTTCCGGGTAACCTAAAATCATATTTGTGCTATGGGTGTGGATGTTTTGGGAAAATGTATACGTTTCTGATACTTTTGTGTTGGCAGAAGAATTTAAGTGTCATTTAATAATAAGACCTTTAGGATTTTCTTCTGATTTCTCATTTCTTCTTGGAGGCAAAAGCAGCAAGGGCTTGGAAGATGGTAAAGCTCTTGGGATGCAACCAGGTCAACTTCCCTTAAAAAATAATTTTTAAAAGTATAGACCCTGCTGTTTAATTCCCATGGTGTGAAATCATTTTGGGGAAGCTGGGTTTGGCAGCGCTGTGTAGCTGAATGCAGGGAGCTCTGTTCATAAAGCCTTTGCTGTGCTCTGGGTGACGGTCATGCCACCATTGGCCAGGCCTGGTGGGTGACAAGGCAGGCTCTGTGCAGCTGCTGCTCAGGGCTCAGTTTGCCTGTTACTGAAAGGTGCTAGCGCTCTGGGCCACCAAAGGCTGCCTTTTGTGACTTACTGGGATTCTCCCCACTGATCCAGCGTCTTTCTTGGGAATCCAGGCTTGTGATCAATTCCCAAAGCAGCACTGTGGGATTTTCATTTGAGTCATCTTATCCCTTTGGGGGCTAGAAAGATACACACAACTTTTCCAACCTTTCTTTTCTTCCTCCTTAATGAATTGCTTATATTTAGGGCTTCCCAAATTCACGTCTTTAGCTCAGACCTTTGCCCTAAGCACAAGACCTATTTCTCCAACTGTCTCGTTAACCTCTCTACTTGGATATTCCACATGCAGTTCAAACTCAACTTGTCTAAAATTGAATTCATCATATTTCCCCCAAAACTTTCTATCCCAAACACTCTTGTGCTTTATTTTCTCTGTAAATGACGACACCTTTCACTAAGTGGATTAAGCCAGAAATTGAGGCGTTACCCCTGGTTTTTCTCTCCCCGCTCACCCTCACATGCTATTTGTCATCAAAATCCATCAATTGTACCACCTGAATATGCCTTGAGTGTAATCGTTTCTGTTTTTTCCCATTATTGCTACACTGGTGCAGACCATGGATATAAATCACCTGTGTGAGAATCAAAAGGCTCTTGCTGGTTTCCTTTTTCCCCCCCGCTCCAAGTTTCAAGTCCAAAACCCTACACAATAGATACTGAATAAATGTTTGCTAAATTAAGAAATGGAGAAAGGAAGAAAAGAAGAATGAAGCTATTACCAACTCTACTGCCTCCTGAAAGGACCAGATAAGACACAGGACAGAGATGAGAAACTCTTCAGATATTAAGATCTCTGGTTGAGACATTTCACAATATCCCTTTGTTGCAGGACACATTGCCAGTAGCTTCATTAGCTAACCTAGATCCCAACAGCTGCACTAAGAACCCATTTTTTTCTGTCTCTGTCCTTAATAAAGAATAGCTAGTCCCATTTCTTCTGTATATGGCAGAAGGAGCTGTGGGTATTATACAGCCTTTGTCTAAAGCCTGGTTCCAGTCCAGCCTAGAGACCTGGATTCATTTGCTGGGAAAGCAGCTGCCCCAGGGCTGTCTCTCCATGCCAGATAATTAGCAGAAAAACAAAAAATGAATTTGAGGTTTGGGCTCAACTTTCCATTTCTTCACGTAGCTATGCACATTTCGGTTTCTCACATACGCTGTTCCTTCCCTCCTTTTTTGTGCAGCCCCTAAATCCTTTGCAGGCTTTTCCTTTTGCCCAAAGACCAGTAAGAAAGGAGAAAGCAGTAAGAGAAGATACTAATATGTAGAGAAGCCAAGTGTCTTAAAGCCCCACCCATTGCTGTTTGAATTCTTTCACTTTTTGTCTCTGCACCAGAACATGACATAACGTGTTTTGCTGATGCTAGATCCTAGAA